TTTCCTTTTTAATTTTTTGGTGGAGATTAAATCCAGGGCCTTTGTACTGAACTATACCCCTAGCTCTTTAAATAAATGTTTTAAAGCCAGACATAGTAGTGCACCTCAATCCTGGCACTTGGGAGGTTGAGGCAAGAGTTTGAGGCCAGGCTGAGGTACACTGTCAATTTAAGGTCAGCCCTAAATACATAATGATAATGCGTCTCAAAAATCCAAAATAGGGGGCCGGTGAGATAGCTCAGCTCAGTGGACTAAGCACCTGCTAAAGCAAGAGAAGAGACTGGGGTTCTACCTCCGGCACCACATGCGTGCCAGCCCTGCCCTCCGGTGTACTGAGCCAGCTAGGGAGATTGGGTGTGGTGGCAACGCCTGTAATCCTGGCACTTGAGAGCGGGAAGGCAGCTCAGTGGCATAAGTCCCTGACTGACACATGCAAGGTCCTGAGTTCAATCCCTGGCACTGAAAAAAAAAGGAAAGGAAAAAATAAATCCCAGCACTTGGGAGCTTGGGAGGTTGAAACAGGAGGATTGCTAAGAATCTGAGATCAGCTTAGGGGCTACAAAAGTTGAGAATAAGACCAGCCTGAACTGTGTAAGAAGCCCTTGTTTCTAAATAAATAAATACACAAATTTCCTCCCACCTCAGTTTTCCAAAATGTTGGGATTATAGGTATGTTTCACTACACTACACTCAGCTACTTATATCCTTACTTGATCATAGATTCCCTCAGGCTCAAGTTTATAAAGAACAGCCCCAAAGCAGGAATTTATGGGAAAGAGTAATACTAAATAAATTTAATAGAACAAAGGCACAATCTTCCATTCTATTCAATCAGTTTAGTGCTTTTAATGCTTAGTTTGCCTCTTATCAAGAAAAAAGTCCTGGGGCTGGTGAGATGGCTCAGTGGTCTAGAGCACCTACTTAGAACAAGCTTTAGCAAAGCACAGGGACCGCGGTTCAATCCCTCAGCACCACATGCCAGCCTGCCCCGCCCCCTGGTGGGCTGAGCCGGCCACACACACACAAATAAATAAATAAGAAAGAAAAAAGTCCTGAAAGATTTTAATTTTTTGAGCCAGGGTCTGGAGTTACTCAGGGTGGCCCTGAACTCATTATGTAGCCCAGGCTGTCCTCCAATCTCTGCAATCCTCCTGCCTCAGCCTCTCAAGTTCAGGGGTTACAGGTGTGAGCCTCAGGCTTTTCATTTTGAGATAGGGCTCACTTCATGGCTCAGGCTGGTCTCCAGCCTGGAGACAGCAGTCTGCATCAGTCTCTTGAGGTGCAGGGGTGCAGCTCCATCGGGCTCTGGTTGTAGTTGAAGCTGTTTTCGGTTTGGACATTGAAGCTACACCTCGCCCATCCAAGGCGAGTGCTCTGGTGCTGAGCTGCATCCCCAGTCCTTGTTCTAGAATAGTTAAGGCACTGTGCAGGGCAAAGCACAAAGAGCATGCCTCGAGTCTGTTGGTCAGCGGAGGAAGCATCCCTGTCCCGAGTTAAGAGCACACTCACAGGTACTCTGCTGGCAGCAAAGCAATGGACTGTCTGAAACTCCACAAGTGGAAAGATGGACAGCAGACACTACAGAGAAGGGCTCAGAGGGCTACGAGGAGGGCTGCAGGAGCCCTGGAAACAGCAGGCTGGGACTGGGTCAGCAGGGAGTCTCTCTAATGAGTGCAGTGTAGGTCCCTCGATTAGACCCTGGCTTGAACAAACTACCTGTAAAATCCTTCGGGGAAATCTGAATATGGCCTGAGTAGTAGACATTATTAACAATTATATCTAGTTGTATTCGATACAGAATTCTGTGATTTGAAAGGGAAACACTCTTTTTCAGTAATGCATATAGAAATATAAGCAACAAAAGTACAAAAATAAGTGAAAAGAGTAAAATGTTAAAATTGATGCAGGCCAGTGAGATAGCTCAGCAGACTAAGCACCTGCTTAGGTAAGCACGGGGACCAGGGTTTGATCCCCAGCACCACAGGCATACTGGGCCAGCCACTCAGGCATACTGAGGCAGCCACCAAGACCAGGTGAAGTGGCACATGCCTGTAGTCCCAGTGCTATGTAGGCTGAAAACAGGATTACTAGGAGTCTGAGCTACATAGTAAGACCCTGTACCAAATACATTAAAAAAAAAAAAAAAAAAAAGTAAAATAAAATTGTTTGGTGCATGCTTGTAATCCCAGCACTCAGGAAGCTGAGGCAGGAGGATTGTTGAAGTTCAAGACCAGCCTGGGCTCCAAAGTGGGCTCAAGACTAACCTGAGCTACATAAAGGAAAAAGTAAATAAATAAAAATAAAAATAATTGTTAAATGTCTCATTGTTTTCCTGTAACTTTGTGATTTTTTTCTGATACAAAAATATAAAAAATTGTGTTATTGGGGATGGGTGTGTTGCTCTGCGGCAGGGCACTTGCCCAGCATGTGGGAGGCTGTGGGTCTGGTCCTACTGTGGTAAAAACCCCACCCACACCCCAGTACAGCACACATATGAACATCCTGAAACAACAGTGTTACTGTCTTGGTTTGCTGGTCTTTACAATGAGCAGTGGCATTTCCCCTAGTGACCAGCTACTGTGATATTGTTCCTATTATCTTAAGAATAGAGAAAAAAGTGCTTTCCTATAACTTGCTTCTGTAGCTTTGGAAAATACCATTATGTCCGCAATACCATCCTATCCCTGCTTTTGGTCTTGTACTCTTGGTTGTACCTCCTCGATAGAGCCCAAACCTGAAAGTACAGATGAGCCCTTTTCTGGATAGCTATACTACATAAAATCATGCACTTGGCACATGTGCTCAGTGACTGCCATCCTCTGGGCTGCAGCTCGGGACAGCCTGCCTAGCACATGGCCCTGGGTTCCATCCCCAGCACTAGAACAGCAATCCTTCCCCACAGAAGAAACAAAACCTCAAACCAAGAGGGAAGTAACCGCTGTTCAGGTCCGCCTGAAACTCGGACTAGCGCTAAGTGTGGGGCCCTGTTCTTTAGAAGCTTCCTAGGAAGTCCTAGTACGCAACCTGAACTGACAACTGTTGGCTCAAGGAGAGAAGGGTAACGAGTGCCAACCTCGCACTCAAAGTGCTTCTTAAAAGATGGCCAGAGAGGTGGGCAATGCTCAGACCTAGACCCTCACATGCTGGGACAGGCAGAAAGGGACAAGAAGGTCTTTGCAAACAGGGACTGTGGAACAGGAGCAGTGGCAGCAAAGCTACACACAGGAGAAAGCACAGAGCACATGGGCAGAGGGTTCTGAACAGGGAGACAGCCCTGGGGAGCAGATCCCCTCCACACCTCATCCTGCAGTCCCAGCTGCCACCGAGCACCTGGGCTGAGTGCATGGTCAGAGAAGTCTAGAGGCAAGGGACAGACTGCAGAGCGAGGGCACACCTGCAAAACAAAAGGTGTGGATGCAAAGGAGAACAAAAGGGGTCAGGGAGAGCCACAAATAGTGCTATAGGAAGAATTTAAAGTCAGACCAATAACTTCAATAATAGGGGTCAGGGAGATGGCTCAGGGGCCGGGAGAAGGCTCAGGGGTCAGGGAGATGGCTCAGGGGCCGGGAGAAGGCTCAGGGGTCAGGGAGATGGCTCAGGGGCCGGGGAGAAGGCTCAGGGGCCGGGGAGAAGGCTCAGGGGCCGGGGAGAAGGCTCAGGGGCCGGGAAGAAGGCTCAGGGGCCGGGAAGAAGGCTCAGGGGCCGGGGAGAAGGCTCAGGGGCCGGGGAGAGGCTCAGTGGCTGGGGAGATGGCTCAGTCGG